ATTGTCATTGCCAGTTTGATGTCTCTGCTCTTCACTATTTTATCGAGATTGGTCATTGCTCTCCTCCCAAGAACTAAATGTCTTCTGATTTCCTGGCTGCAGTCTGCTTCTGCAGTAATCTTTGCACCTAGAAATACAATGTCACTGCTTCCATGTTTTCTCCCACTATTTGCCAGTTATCAATCAGTCTGGTTGCTTTAATCTTGGTTTTTTAAAAATGTTTAACTGCAACCCAGCTTTTGCACTTTCTTCTTTCACCTTAGTTAGAAGGCTCCTCAACTCCTCCTCGCTTTCGGCCATCAAAGTGGTTTCATCTGCATATCTAAGGTTGTTAATGTTTCTTTATCAACTCTAGTCAGGGCTAACCAAGAGGATTCCAGCCTAAGGCTTTGTCTACATTGATGGAAAAGATTCTGTTCTAGTCCTAGGTTATTTTGCAGTGATCTTGTTAATGCCACACACATCACACGCATTGTGGCGAAATCACCCTAATGGCCACCTGATTCCTAGGACACTTGCTGACTAAACATAGGACAATTTCATCTTCTATGACTATAGTCAACATAAGAGATATTCTAAAATGAAACCTCTATGCAGTTATACATACTTAGCAAGCAATAAGTTCCATTAAATTCCAAGGGACTTACTAACATGGAAGTGTGCATAGGTCTATTATACTATCCTACAGAGTTTGCAAAAGTAAATATATGATAGTGCTGTTAGAGACTAAATAATAGCCTGTAGCATGGATTTTTAGTGTGCTAAAGGCTAATTCATTAAATACAGGATGAACCAGGAAGCGCACTAGGGGCACATAGAAAAGCTGCTGGTTTTTCCTTCAAGGCAAGGGCAATAGGCTACACATTTCATAATAGGCATGGAAGCACTACATGGAGTACAAATGTATCAGTTTGGCAAGAACTAAATCACAATAGGTGTGACTCTTAACTACACCCAGTGGTGATGACCTGGCACCAACTGCTCTGAGATACACTTGGATATACAGACAGAGGACTGAGGAATAAATGATAAGAGCAAGACTGACTCACCTTATCAGAATAATAGAATCCTAGTTGGAAGGGGCCTCATGTCCAACCCCTTGCCAAGAAGCAGGGAAATTGCATTCAAAGCACCCCCAACAGATGGCCATCCAGCCTCTGCATAAAAGCCTCAAAGAAGGAGGCTGATAGCACAATGAGGCAGTGAGAAAATAACCTCCTAATCCAACAAGGAACCAGGATGGGTTGAGAATAATAGCCTTCTGAAAACGTGACAAAAACAAAAGTTAGACTCTTCCAGCTTGGCATGTCACAAGAAAGCCTAAATACCCTAAAGGCACCAGAATGCATCTGATCTTGGAAACTAACCAAAGGACATGGATGGGTGCCTGCAAACAAATGTCAGATGCTGTGGGCTATATTTTAGATGAAGGAACTGGGCAAAATCACCTCTCGGGTATTCCTAGCGTTAGAAACTCCTATGAAATTCCTGGGATCACATTAAGATGGCAGGTGAATAAATGAGATCTTTGTAGCCAATCAAAAGGGTTTTAACTGTATAGAGTAGACTAAACACGGAAATTCTGGGCAAAAATGTGTGTGTGGAAAGATAGAGATAAAGACAAAAGAGGGGTTTTGCAAAGAAAGACTCAGCATGCTGGAGTACATCATCAGGACTCTGGGGGCCCTTCGACACGGCCCTATATCCCGGAATATCAAGGCAGAAAATCCCACAATATCTGCTTTTGACTGGGTTGAGTCCTCACTCAAATAATGTTCAATTTTCTCCCATGATATTCTGGGATATAGGGCTGAGTGGAAGGGCCCTGGGTGACCAGGGTTTGAATACGAAACTTACTAGATGACGTTCTGTTAGTTATACTCAGTTGGGGAGAAAGACAATGGCAACCCCCTCTGAACAAATCTTGGTAAGAAAACTTAGTAACACATTTGCCTCAGGGTCCTCATAGATAAGAAATAATCTGAAACAACATTTTTTTGAACAATTGGAAATTTGTTCAAAATGGCCTACCCAAAAGAGAAAGCATTTCGCTCTCATATTAACTCACTGAAATACCTTCAGGGACAAACTTTCAGGTACAAAAACATGAATACAGCTGTGACCAGAATGGTTTTAAGATTTTCTCAAGGAAACAGTAAGTAAAGTAAAAAGTAAGTATTCCAATCAGACAGAAGATTTGAAAAGTTACATTTTTATTTATTTATTTAAAAGTTTTATATACCGACCTTCTCACCTTTCTTGAGGGACTCAGACCGGTTTCCAACCATAATATCACATACAGTTAATAAAAACATAATAATTCATTTTACACTAAAACATTAAAACATTTTACCATTTCATTTGTTCATAATAGCTGAGGGCTTTTCTACGCAGCCATATAACCCAGAATATCAAGGCAGAATAACTCACAATGTCTGCTTTGAACTGTGTTATCTGACTCCACACTGCCATATATTCAAGTTCAAAGCAGACAGTTTGGGATTTTATTCAGGTATGTTGAAGGGCCCTGAGACAAGGGGATTTCAAACAAGTTTTTAAAAAGCATCCTTTAGGTTTGAAGTTCAAGTCAATATTTTTGGAATTTCAGGGAAGAAAATGGGAAATAAAATATATAAAACAACCTTATATTAAGTCAAGTGGTTTGAGCAACCCATGGTGAAGCAGTTTGAGCACTGGACCATGACTCTGGAAACTAGAGTCTGAAGCACTGATTGCCCGTGGAAACCCACTAAAGGCCCTTCCATACAACCATATAATCCAGAATATTAAGGCAGTGAAATAGTGAAAGGACCAAGGCAGAGACATCTCCAGCTCATCCCTTGTTTGGGTATCAGCCAGCATGCCAACGACTTAAATCTAGACATAGTTTTCTAAGATCTACAGAGACACTCGCTGGAACACCTCAGCAAGCGAGAGTCCAAAAGTGGCAGGCTCAAACCCAGCACCTCAACCAATGGCTGATACCAAATGAGAGACTCCCCCCTGGGCACACAGAAGACTGGGCGACTTGGAAGGCGCTGAACAGACTGCGCTCTGGCACCACGAGATGCAGAGCCAACCTTCAGAAATGGGGATACAAAGTAGAATCCTCGACATGCGAGTGTGGAGAAGAGCAAACCACTGACCACCTGCTGCAATGCAACCTGAGCCCTGCCACATGCACAATGGAGGACCTTCTTGCAGCAACACCAGAAGCACTCCAAGTGGCCAGATACTGGTCAAAGAACATTTAAACCAACTACCAAACTCACAAATGCTGTATTTTATCTGTTTGTTTGCTTTGTTCTGTTAGAAATGTAATATAATTGACTGGTTGATCTGACACGACAAATAAAGAAAGGCAGAAAATCCCACAATATCTGCTTTGAACTGGGTTATCTGAGTCCACACTGCCATATATCCCAGTTCAAAGCAGATAATGAGGGATTTTATTCAGCTGTATGGAAGGGGCCTGGGTGACCTTGGGCAAGTCATCCTCTCCTGGCTTCAGAGGAAATTAAAGACAAACCCCTTATGAACAAATTCTGCCAAAAAAATCCTGTGATAGATTCACTTTAGGGTTTCATAAGCAGAAACAATTTCTAGGTACATAACAAATTCCCAAAACTTCAAGGTTCGCCACCCTAAGCCTGGTGCAAAACAATGAATCATGAAAGTGAAACTAGAACTGAGGAACAGAATGCGTCTGAGCATATATGCAGGCCAGGAATTTGCTTTCAGTAGTAGGTGAGAAGTGAGAAAACTTTGGAAAAGTTACACTCCCCCTGCCCGCCCAAGATATTAAAATCTGTGGATGCTCAAGTCCCATTTTATACATTGGTATAGTAAAATGATGTCCCATATAAAATGGCGCAATCATGGTTTGCTTTTTGGATTTTAATTTATTTATCATTTTTGTTGCTGTGAGTTTTCTGGGATGTCTGGCCATGTTCCAGAAACATTCTCTCCTGATGTTTGGCCCACATCTATGGCAGACATCCTCTGAGGTTGAGAGGTATGCTACCATGCCCTCCTAGTCACATTTCCTTCCTAGCACTTTGGGTGGGGGGGGGGGAGGGAGAAAGAGCCTATTCCTTCTATCATTGGCAGATTACCTCTCATAGATGTGGGTGAAACATCAGGAGAGAATGCTTCTGGAACATGCCCATACAGCCCGGAAAACTCACAGCAACCTAGCTGGTAGGCTGTTAGGTTATTTCTCATATTCCTTCTATCATTGCCAGATTACCTCTCATAGATGTAGGCAAAACATCTGGAAAGAATGCTTCTGGAACATGGCCATACAGCCAGGAAAACTCACAGCAACCCAGCTGGTAGGCTGTTAGGTTACTTCTCATAGATGTGGGCAAAACGTCAGGAGGGAATGCTTCTCGAACGTGGTCATACAGCCCAGAAAACTCACAGCAACCCAGCTGGTAGGCTGTTAGGTTACTTCTCATAGATGTGGGCAAAACGTCAGGAGAGAATGCTTTTGGAACATGACCAGACATCCTGGAAAACTCACAACAACCCAGTGATTCTGGCCATGAAAACCTTTGACAACATATCTATCATTTATTTACTTTATTTACACCTCACCTTTCCCCCTGAGGGAGGAATGTTTTCAAGCCATGGATGACTGAATCTGTGGATACAGAATCCATGGATACAGCGGACTGACTGTACCCACTTCTACTGCTGAAAGGTGTTGATGCTAACGTCCCATGGCAAAGACCACAAGGAGATGTATTTTGATATTTCTCTGGCAACTTTATTAACAGATGTGAATTGATGTTGCTTGCAGGTCATGTTGGAAAGGCGGCATGCAAAGTTGTAACACCGAAGCACAGAGCTGAACCTACATCAGTTATAATACACGCAGGATATGCACTCATAGAGTTGCCATAAACTGAAGTTGAATTAGATGGCAGTTAAGAACAACGAAATATACCTACATGACAAGACAAGGATTATTTTCAATGAATAAGAGAGACACTCACCTCAGCAATCCTGTGAGGCAGTTTAGGTAAAGGATGTGCCCAACTTCTTTGCAGATTTAACCCTTCGCCACAGAAAGGCTGGACAACTTGGCAGGATTCCTTTACGTCCCTCCTGCTCTTCCTTCACTCCAACAGCCAATCCAGTCTCAGTGTCTCCTAATAATTGACAGGGAGAGGAAAAACACACCAACAGAAGATCCTTTACTATCTTTGGGGCTGGGCAGGATTGGACAAATAGCCTAAGAGCAAATAAGCTGTGCTCTGACGGCAAACACTTCCAAGTGTACTTGGATTTGTCCGTTCTCCTCAAGTGAATGCTGTGAGACCAGATGCCAAGCCCAGCCAACTTCCAACAAGGTGTCACACCCAAATGTGTGGAGCGCAGGGAAAGGTCAGCCTGAGCACATGGCACCAGCCTGGTCACTGCAGCTGAAACACAACACAAGGGAAGGGGAGGGGTTTCTAAACAAATCGAAAGGGGGAAACACACCTACTTCAAACAGACAAGAACTCTTTCTCCCACCCTGGACATCCCACAGACATATAAACCCCGTTTTCCTAGTTTCCAACAGACCTCACAACCTCTGAGGATTTTTTTTGTTGTGTCAGGAGTGACTTGAGAAGCTGCAAGTTACTTCTGGTGTGAGAGAATTGGCCGTCTGCAAGGATGTTTCCCAGGGGACGTCCAGATGTTTTCAATGTGTTATTATCCTTGTGGGAGGCTTCTCTCATGTCCCTGCATAAGGAGCTGGAGCTGATATAGAGAGCTTATCCGCGCTCTCCCTGGATTTGAACCTATGACCTGTTGGTCTTCAGTCCTGCCAACTGAACCCACTGTGCCACCTCTGAGGATGCCTGCCATAGAGGCAGGCGAAACGTCAGGAAAGAATGCTTCTGGAACATGGTCAGACAGCCCGGAAAACTCACAGCAACCCACTGAAAGGGGGAACATCATTAGAGAAGCGCTCTCTCCTGACATTTCACCTGTAATCTATGACAACATGGCCATACAGCCCGGAAAACTCACAACAACCCACTGAAAGGGGAAACATTGTGATAAGTAAAGCAATGATAGAAGGAATAGGCTCTTTGGGTTGTTTTGAGTTTTCTGCACTGTGTGGCCATGTTCCAGAAGCGTTCTTTCCTGACATTTCGCCTGCCTCTATTGTGACATGGCCATGCAGACTGGAAAACTCATAATAACCCACCGAAAGGGGGAACATCATAAATAAATCAATGATAGAAGGGAATAGACTCTTTGTGTTGTTGTGAGTTTTCTGTGCTGTGTGGCTGCATTCTCTCCTGACATTTTGCCTGCATTGATGGCAGGCATCCTCAACAGGCTCTTTCATCCCCCCCCCCTCCTCCCAGAGTGCTAGGGAGGAAATGTGAACAGGAGGAGGGCAGCATTTGGCGCATTTTGCGTGCGCCCGGATCCAGGAGAAAAGGAGGATTCATAAAAGGATGCAGCACTCAAAGACCATGTATCAATCTATCTATCCATCCTTCCTTCACATTTTTTTTTACAAATGGTGTGCTGGTGTGGTTGGGATGTCCCTTTAAGGGGCAGGCAAACTGGCAAAACGGTCATCAGGAGCCCCAAGAACGCAGGAGCAGCAGGAGCAGGAGCATCATCTTGCGGCACTTTCCGGCGCGCCTCTGCTCTTGGGTGCCGCATCTCGGAAGGCTCCTTCGGGCTGGAAAGAAGCCTCCCTGGGCTGGGTGGGGAGGCAGCCTGGCTCTCCTTTCCAGATGGCCGCAGTCCCCCTCTCCCTCGCCTTTGGGCGCATCTTTCCCAGCCAGAAATGGATCAGAGAAGGGCCGGGAAGGAAGAGCCAGGGCAGGGCGCGACTGCCTGCCTGGCTACCTACCGACCTACCTGCCAGGGAGCCCCTCGCTTTTGATGCTCCAGGTGGGAGTCTCCGACTTGCCTCTTCTTCGGTTGGAGAAGGAGGGCATCCTCGCCCCCTTCCTCGCCTTCTCGCTCCCTTTTCTGAACGGCCGGGAGAGAAGGGCCTCGAGGAGGAGGAGGCGACGGCGTCCCTGCAGTTCCCTTGGTGCCGTTGGGTGCGATCCAACGCTCCTTGGGCCGGAAGGGCGATGCGCAAAGAGACGCGCGCCAAGGGCGGGGAAGGCGCGCCCCTCCTGGGCTCCCCCCCTCCCCCCTCCCCCTCTCGCCCTCCTTCCCTGCGAGGCTAATGTCCTGGCTCCAGGAAGGGACACATGCCATTGAAATGCTACCCCAGGCATGGGCAAACTTCGGCCCTCCCTCCAGGTGTTTTGGACTCCGGTGCCCACAATTCCTAACAATCAGTAGTCTTGTTGCAGGCTTTCATGGCCATAATCACTGGGTTGCTGTGAGGTTTCAGGACAGTGAATAAAGAGTAACACTCCAAAAGCAGGAACATTCCAGACAGGAATCAATCAGGACCAGCACACACCTCCCAACAAAGGATTCCCCCTAGTCAAAAAGCAGCCAAGCCTTCAAGCTACAAGGTTTCACACTTCATTGGGTGGTTGTGAGTTTGTAAAGCTTTGTCCTCCCAACCCTGCTATATGCCTGTGAGTTTTCAGGACAGTGAATAAAGAGCAAGACTCCAAAAGCAGGAACATTCCAGACAAGACCCAATCAGGACCAGCACACACACCTCCCAACAAAGGATTCTCCCCAGTCAGAAAGCAGCCAAGCCTTGAAACTACAAGGGTTCACACTTCATTGGGTGGTTGTGAGTTTGTAAAGCTTTGTCCTCCCAATCCTGCTATATGCCTGTGAGTTTTCAGGACAGTGAATAAAGAGCAACACTCCAAAAGCAGGGGAGTTCCAGACAGGAATCAATCAGGACCAGCACACACCTCCCCACAAAGGAATCCCCCCCAGTCAGAAAGTAGCCAAGCCTTGAAGCTGCAAGGTTTCACACTTCATTGGGTGGCTGTGAGTTTATAAAGCTATTGTCCTCCCAACCGTGCTATATGCCTGTGAATTTTCAGGACAGTGAATAAAGAGCAACACTCCAAAAGCAGGAACATTCCAGACAGAATTAGGACCAGCACACACCTCCCAACGAAGGATCCCCCCCCCCCAGTCAGGAAGCAGCCAAGCCTTGAAAATTCCAGACAAGACCCAATCAGGGCCAGCTCACACCTCCCAACAAAGGATTCCCCCCAGTCAGAAAGCAGCCAAGCCTTGAAGCTGCAAGGTTTCACACTTCATTGGGTGGTTGTGAGTTTGTAAAGCTATTGTCCTCCCAGCCCTGCTATATGCCTGTGAGTTTTCAGGACAGTGAATAAAGAGCAACACTCCAAAAGCAGGAACATTCCAGACAGGAATAAATCAGGGCCAGCACACACCTCCCAACAAAGGATTCCCCCCAGTCAGAAAGCAGCCAAGCCTCGAAGCTACAAGGTTTCACACTTCATTGGGTGGTTGTGAGTTTGTAAAGCTATTGTCCTCCCAACGCTGCTACAGGGTTCCCTCACTTATTGTGGGGGTTCTGTTCCAGGAACCCCCGCGATAAGTGAAAAACCGCAATGTAGGAACGCTATACTGTATATGTGCAGTATAGCTCTGCCCACTCCTCTCTCCCCCTCCTCCCTCCCTCCCTCTCTTCCTCTCACCCTCCCTCCCTCCCTCCCTCCCCCCTTCCCCTTGCTGGAGCCACCCTTCCCCCTCCCTCCCTGCTTCCCCAATGGCATGGGGTTCTCACCCAGTCACCCAAGAAAGAGTGACCAGGAAGAAGCCCCAGCGGAAGCCGCCTTGGCAGCTCTCTCCACACCCCTCGCCAGTGCCACTTCAGCAAGTGGGGTTTATAGATCTGTGTATACAGTGTTCCCTTGGTACTTGTATTTTTAATTAATTTGTTTTGAGAAACCACGAAACAGCGAATCCACGGGAAGCAAACTGCAGAGTACCAAGGGAACACTGTATATGCCTGTGAAATGGGCATTGTCTACAGACATCACATGCAACTCCTGGAACAATTCCATCAGTGTTGCCTCTGCAAAATCTTGCAAATCTCTTGGGAACACAGACAGACAAATGTGAGCGTGCTGGAAGAAGCAAAGACCACCAGCATTGAAGCAATGGTTCTCCACCATCAACTCCATTGGACCAGCCAAATTGTCTGAATGCTCAACCACCGTCTCCCAAAGCAGTTGCTTTACTCTGAACTCAAGAATGGAAAATGGAATGTTGGAGGACAGGAAAAGAGATTTAAAGATGGGCTTAAAGCCAACCTTTAAAACTGGGGCACATACACCAAGAACAGGGAAGCCCTCGCCCTTGAGCACTCTAGCTGGAGGTCAGCTGTGACCAGCAGTGCTGCAGAATTTAAAGAGGCATGAATGGAGGGCAAAAGAGAGAAACGTGCCAAGCGGAAGGCGCATCACACCAACCCTGACAGGGACCGCCCTCCCCCTGGAAACCGATGCCCTCACTGCAGGAGAACATGCAGATCAAGAATAGGGCTCTACAGTCACCTACGTATCCACCGCCAGGACGCCACACTTGGAAGACAATCTTACTCAGACAAAGAGGGATTCCCTAAGGAAGGAGGAAGGCCTAAGGATGTGCATTTTCCAGGCTGTATGGCCATTTTCCAGAAGCATTTTCATCTGACGTTTTGCTTGCATCTATGGCAGGCACCCTCAGATGTTGTGAGGTCTGTAGGATACTAGGGAAGTGGGGTTGATATATCTGTGGAATAGTGTCCAGGGTGGGAGAAAGAACTCTTGTCTGTTGGTGGCAGGTGTGAATGTTTCAATTGGCCACCTTGATTAGCATTGAACGGCTGTGCAGCTTCAACGCCTGGCTGGTTGCTGCCTGGGGGGAATCTTTTGTTGGGAGGTGTTAGTTGGCCCTGATTGTTTCCTGTCTGGAATTCCCCTATTTTCTGAGTGTTCTTCTTTATTTACTGATTTTAGAGTTTTTTAAATACTGGTACCAGATTTCGTTCATGTTCATGGTTTCCTCCTTTCTGTTGAAATTGTCCACATGCTTGTGGATAAGAATAGTTGCTTTTAAAGCAGTATAGCAGCATTCATAGCAGAAATAGTAAACTTCTGAGAATGTAATAATAGTGCCACCTGCTGATGATGCCTGTCTG